TTTATTTGTGAAGTTTAGAAAAAAAATGTTGTGAAGTTTGAATGTAATCTATTGTCTAAAAATTTTATGCTTACAAAATTACAAGATTTATTAATGGCTTGATATATGCTCTAATATGTTACTCCTTGTAATCACATAGTTTTCAAGAATTTAAATATATATATAATGAGAGATATTTTTGAAACTCAAAAGTAATCTAAATGATGTAGTGAAATACTTAATAAAGATAGAATTCCAGAATCTATACAAAGTTTGAAGATGCGCTATTATTTTCATAATTGCATTTTAATTCAAATATAATTGATTTTTTTACAAGTATGACAATATATAACCCCAAAACATAGAAAAGAGATATATCACAACTAGTTTATTTAAAAATAAATCTAAAGAAGCATTAATGAATAATATCACTATTTTTATACATAAAAAAGATCAAACATGTAGGATTTATCTTATTATTAGTATGGACATCTTCAACTTTCTCATGATAAAAGATTTCACGTTTGCAAGCATACTATAAAGATACTTGTTAATTTACAAAAAAAATTAATGTATGAATTTATTCCTCCAAAATGATACATACAAATTGTTGTCATCATGCATAAATTTTATTTTTTCGTCGAATTGTTAACATTTTTTAAAATGGTCAAATTATGTATATCAAATTGAAAAAATATAAGCAATGAAAATGAAAAAAAAAGTCTCATAAAAGAATTTTGTTTCTTTTTTCAAATTTTTTAGATGTATTGACATAAGAATGCACATTATATAAATAAATCCAGTGATTATGTGAATCTATATAAGAATTGAAGGTTACTTCAACAATATGTTCTTATATGAAATTTCTACATAAAATATTGATATTTTTTTCCTTCTCACTGAAAATTTATGATTTGAAAGTTTGCATAATATGCAGATATATATTCAGTATATATATTTAGGTTGTCATCAACTCTATTACATTGAAACACGTGTAATTTTATTGTCAATTGATGGTTTGATCCATATCATTAAATGTGCAAATCTATGTAAAACCAATATATTTGAATTTTTAAAAAATTTACATAATAAAGACGTTTGCATTTTGATCTAGTCTTCACATCATTTAAGTTGGACAGAAGAAATATTTTCTATTTGAACAATAATTAGAATATTTACTCAGCATACTACTTAAAAAAAGAAACCCATCTTCATTACTTTTCAACATTATTATATCTATTCAAATTTAAAATTATGTATCATTTTAATTTTTTTTTTAAATTGCACATTTTGATAGGAAAAAATAGATTGAATCTCAAAGTATGTAGAAATGAATTGTAGGAACTTGATTTTATATTAAATATAAATTTGTAGTAATAATTTAGAAAATATTATTGTAGTCAAGATATTTTGATTGTAATATAAAATTACAATCAAAATTTTTAATATACTATTTAATTTTTCTTTGTTAATAATTCTCAATCTTTATTTAAAATAGATTTATTAGATTTTGGTATTTTGTCATAAATTTATACAAGAATTAATTTTGAACTTTAGTTTGGTGCAGATATAGATATATAATGTTGAAAAGAGGATGGGATTATTCTATGAAGGATGAAACCAAGCAGGTAACACATGTCTAGCTTTGAGATTTTTTGTTTTGTTTTTTCATTTCTGATGGAAATACTTAATTCATATTGAAATGACCAAGAGTCACTTGCAAATATTACTATACATGGGAAGAACCGAACTGAAGGAACAGAACCCGATGCAAGATTTTCTTTTAAAGACAAAGATTTAGTTTGTGATATTGGTATAGCTACAAGTAGTCGACCTTTCCTCAACACCTATTGTGACATCTCATTTCAACTTCCAGCTCAAGCCTAAGTTCTCCATATCACTAAGATATCCATCTAGGTCCAAATACTATTGGTCCTAGCTGAAATAAGTCGAGATCAAGCACACATAACATAGAAGTATCTGACATCGATCAATCATTGCGTTGCCACTTTCGAACCCCCTTCGAGTATGCTATGCATTACGTTTCTTCTCAGATTAATATCTCTCTCGTTCTGAATTCTCACTCGCTCACTCTCCTCCACTCTCAAGCATTTGCAGGTCAAGAAGAAAGAGCAGCAGCAGCATCGTCGTATTTTTCCCAGAGCCAGCCTTCCGGGTCAAGGAACCAAGTGAGCCATTACACTCAAGTGCACAATGGCAGACACACGTTGGCAGTCCAAGGACTTCAAAGCAAGCATACTTCTCATAGGAGCAGGGAAAAGCCTGAGCCGAAGTACGCTCCCATAGGCAGCGATGTACGAAAACAGCAAGGATCCATCCGGCGTCGTACTCACAACAGGTACACCCGTCGGCTACGAGTGGCGGAGCAATGGCGTCCGTCTCGGAAGGCGTAAAGTAAAGCGTAAAGCAAAGAGGCGAACGCCGCAGTATCTTAAACCAGAAGCTTTGTTCAGCCCGCCCGTCGCTCAGCCACGCTAGGGGACGGTCCAGAAAAATGGACGGGATGGACGGATTGTTTCCGCTGCCGCATCTTCTATCCGGATCCGGATCGGTTCGTCTTCAATCTGGAAAGCGTGACCGCGTGACGGCGTCCCCAAAGAGTCCGACTAAAACCTCCCTGCGTCCGCATGGCGAACACAGCACCGCGAGGAGGAGGAGAGGACGGTCAATGTCTTAAAATGGCGCGGACCAAAAGCGAGGCAGGCCGAGGACAGGACAGCTCGTCGTACAGAGGATAGGTACGAAGAGAGCTATGGAGGCGGCGAGTAGAGAACTAGGGGCTTTCCTAACATAACCATGACCATCTGCGGAAATAGGTATCCCCACGCTAAGTGTCGCGCTTGAATTAATAGCTTGAATTTATAGCACAACTGAAGCCAAGAATGTCCTTTTCCCAGTTCGCCAGGAAGGGGGAAGAGGACGCAGTTTTGTCTTCCGGGATTCTTCGGAGGACCTTTTCGGTCGCCCCGTTAGAAACCTCATGGAAGTTGGGACGGGGTTTTGTGAGAGTTGTTTTCATCCCGACATCTTAGTGATGGGTAGAGTCTCTACATTGGGCATTTTAAAAATAGATGCATAATATTATTAATTTCAAATTTTTTAGTGACTAATATCAACATTATTTTTTGAGTAGTTTTAGAATTTTTTTTTTCCAAATGACAGAATAGCAAAATGATAGAACGAAAAACTTTTATGTGGCTGAACAACAAAACGATTTAATTTATTAGTAGATTTCGTTGGTGGACTGGGTTCATTGTTTCCACGTACAACACTTGTTGAGTGTGACTTCTCAATGTTGAAATTGAAAAATAACCTTTTTAATATGTCACTGATTGATTTTTCTTTTGAAATAATTTTTCCAATGTAAAAAATATGATATGTTGCGCACCTTGAAGCAATAAAACAGAGATATTATGTTTTTCATGTTTAAATACAAGCAAGAATCATTCGCTTGATTGTAAGTAATCTCACCAATCTGCTGTTTGTTACATTAAATCATTGAGAAATCAAGAATCATTAAGATAATGGCAAGATACATATCAGAAGAATTGCTTCAATGGATCAAGGACTTGGGATTTAGGCAAATCGGAACAAAATAGATACCCTCGCCTGATTTTATCAAGAGTAACGGGTTGAGAGAAATTTATTTAAATCTGAAATTTTTTATGTCGAGTTATTTTTATGAAAAGTTGTCCGGTTGAATCTGATCGAATAAACTTCGCATAATACTCTTTTTCTATAAGATTTCGTTGAAATTGAATCATTACTATATAAAATTGATTACAATCTATACAGTGTCAGTCTTGGACTTTTTTTAAACGATGATGCCCAAGCCTCTGCTAAATTGGCATTTGCCAAATTTGTCATAACTTAGTCTATTATGGCATCAGCCAATTTTTATTTATGACACTAATTTTAATTTGCTTGAATTGCTTATAATGTATGCTTACTAGAGTGACAATATCATTAAAGAAGATATATACTCATCATTCTCTTAGGTAATCATGGAGAAATCACCCTCCACACACATAGTTTCAGGATTCACAATTTGGAAAATCTAAGTTCAAAAGTAATCCATGTTTCATCAAATTTCACGGATTCTGGCATTTGATCCACTGTTTTGCAAAGTATATTTTCTCTTTCTCATTCTATCAATGAATACATTCTCAATTTTGAGATCAAATAAAAGGTAGTAGAATTGTGTCAACTATGTTTACGTTATTATCCAAACACAATTGATATAGGACGCAGCAAAATGAGTAGGATAGTATTCAAAGAAAGTTCGTTTGACGTGTAATTACAGAGCATGATATTCACTCCATATTTGCTTTAAAGTGTAGACTTTCAAGATGTTTTGATTCCAGCTCTAGTCAATGTGGAACCTTAAAGTATTTTGTGATTCTAGCCGGACCTTCGCTTCTGTTCGATTATTTTTTTTCACCTCTCATACTTGGCAAAAAGCTACAAAACCCGATGTAACGACACAGAAAATCTTCGGCCCATAGTCAAGTATGTGAGAGAGAGATTAAATGGCTTTCTTTGAAGACATTTCATCAACGTCAACAGCGAAGAAGAGAGAACAAAAACGTTTTAATAATGACCAAGAACGAAAGGAGACTTGGATTTCCATTCTTATTTATGGCATCACGCCAAAATTATTTTTGACAAATATGGCATAGCACCCCCAAATGCCATATTTGAAGAGTCCGGATGATGCCTGATTTCATTAGGGATATGTGCTAATATGGTTAGATTAGGCACAAATAGGCATATGCCTAATCTACAGAGTCTATTCCTCATGTCCTGCTGAGGACTTGAGGAATTCCGGCTCTATACGGCTGCCGCCTGCAGGGAGGAGGGAGGGATAGAGAGAGAGGGTGCATGATGAGCCTGAGCCGGAAACTTGAGCCTGACTTATGCACATGTTTAACAGGTCGACTTAGTTCGAATAATTAGAGGCGACAGGAGTATGAATCGGCGGATCAGTCGAGAGCCGACACCGGGACGTAAGAAGTTTGCCGGATCGAGCGAGCGACATTCGTCGTCGGAGAGGTGAAACTTCTCGCCGAAGCTGGAGGAGAGGGAGGGACGGTGTGGTTAGGGAGCGAGTGTGTGAGTCAAAGGGGGAGGGAGAGACCACGGGTGCGCTTTTGGCAGGGGGGTGTAGGATTGCGTCGGATGATCCGGACAGAAGGGAACCCACTTGTTGTGGGCGAGGGGCGGAGTTTTAATATTAGGGATCGCGGCTGGCCATGTGTCCGGAGCAGCTCGGTCCTCAATGTGCGCGATGACGGTGTTCTAGCTGGCCTAAAACATTCACCTCTGCTTTCTGTTGATTCCGGAAAGTGGATGAGGTATGGGGCTCATCATTGTTTCGGTGATCATAAAGGAAACGAAAAGCAGTTGGAGAATCTTCCGAAATAGTCAGACGAGCTCGCTCGCGAGGCGCAGAGTTCGAGTCGTCTAGAGCCTCGGGCAATTTTGACTTCTTTGACGACCGGAATTTTCTGCCAAATGTGTTAATATTCTAATAGCTGGATATTGAATTCGGAACCTGGAACCCGGTTGTCGGGCATGTGATTTCCTTTTTGTTCCCATTGTATTCTTCCACTTTCGCCTGCTGATATTTTAGTGCAGATTTTCGGGGGACCAACCACCGAAGAAAGCCTGTGCCCGCGACCACGTCTGAAATATCGGACGCAAAGTCGCAATCCAGCCAACCAACGGAAGTAGTCGCAGGCGCAGGAGAATTCGAACGAGTGGTACCCCTCGTACTTTCCAGCGGATGAGCAACGGCGTCCAGAGCAGAACAGCGAATGAGGCATGGAGTTCCGAATTTTTAACATAATTTGCTGGGACGCCGGTGCAACTGGGACGACTGCGGACTCAGAATTAGGGCTCGCGAGGGGCCCGCCTGTTGGTTTGGGAAAGATGCCCCTGCAGCTCGATAGGACGGATGACAGATCTGGAAACTGTTGTGGCAGTGTAATACAGCCAGGTGCTTACTCCTGCTTGAAATCGTGTTGCATGGCTATGCGTGCAATTATGCGTAAACCCCTCGTCGTGCAAGTGGCAAGCTTTTGGTAATGTTTCCTAATATTTAGCTGTGACTGCCATGAAACACATTTAGACGGAACTGTTCTGTCTTAAATCCTCAATCCCTAGGACGCCACTTTATGAGAGCTGTTCTTCCAAGTGGATCCTGGAGCGAGAGCATACCATTGGGGAATGTTCTGTAAACCCGGTACAGAAGCCTCGCTTTGTGTGCACAGGCCTTTCAACTGGATCCCAGCGATCAGCAAGTGGCTAAACTTTGTCGATCGTCGTAGTTCATTCGCATAACCGAGTCATTGCTTCCGTAGCAGAGCATGTTTTATTTAACGCCAGTCCTGGTCTTCCCCGGAGAAGACTCTTCTTATTCCGCATAAGCACGAGGTATCATCTTCCTCGTGTGCGTTTTATTCTTTTCCCTTTGAGCAGTTCCTGTGAACTGGATCTAATGGCACCACTTGACAAAAGTGAGATCTTGCACAGGAACTTGCTATCTGCCAAGAGAATCATATGTGCTTAAAATATCATTTTCGATACTTGAGCAACTACTTTTCTCCTGCTGTTTGAGCTTGGCTACCAGCTTCATGACCGAGAGTCTGTGGTCAGTGAGTCATTCGTACCAAATCACAAGGCCTTGATCCAGGTGAGCATGCCAGGAGTAGGTTAAAGGTGATTGTGCTTTTCGACACTAAAACGTGCTCGCTGAGTAGTTGGGTCCTGCTGGAGATCTCAAGCATTGTTCTAATGCACTTCTGGCATCAAGTTAAGAACCACATTCGGCTGGAGCAAATCCCAAACGTTTCTGCTGGCGATCATACAGCACATGGGCGTTCTTCGTTTGATAATTTCTGGTGATGGTTATTGCGTCATCGTTGATCATGGCCAAGCAGAGGTGCCCCGCTTCGTCGACCTTCACAAACAGGTTATCTGGCGGAATTTTCGTAAGCAGCATCGATGAAGTGGAAGGTTGCATTGGGCAACTTTGGGTTTTGAACACCAGAAAGGTTGTAACAAAGTTCAAATTCAAAGTCAGGGTCACAAGATGGGTTGACTTGAGGATAATCCATCACCTCTGCTACAGCTTGAACTACTGTTCTTAAAAAGTCCACAACCCATGAAGAGTGTATGTTGTACCAGAGTCGATCATTGTTCCGGGGTTCTGAAGTGCCTCACTTGGTATGTCCCAACTTTTTTCCTTCGACATTCATCCCTGTGAGGTGCAGCAGGTAGGGAGGGAGTCATGCTGAAGCTCTCCTTGTAGGTGGCATATACGAAGTGAGTGTAGCGCATTCTGCTCGGACAAACACCAGAGGGCATCATGTCAGTCCAGCAATTTTGGGCTTCTTAGACCTTTTGAGTGAGGGTTTATCGTTAGATTTGTGTTCGGGTGATGACTCTGTAGACGATGCAGAATTTTATGTCTTGCGTTTTTTTTCCTAATGCTGTGATTCTCCAAATCCTATGTGCAAGAAAAACCTAATCTCATCTACAGAACATGGACCGTGTGAATGATGCAGTTGTCTAGTCACTCTGCCGTGAATTTTGCAAACCCTTTCAGAAAGGGTCTGGTCTTCCTCTGTGTTCAAAGACTGATCAGGCTGGACATTATTTTCTTCTTGGATAGACAAGGAAACCAAGTCAGATGCATCCATTCTCAGAAGTTTCTTCTTGACCTCGAAAGGAAAGGTAGGTGGAGCTCTGAACTGCGAAATGGTAGAAAGAATACTAACTCTCTGTAGCGGGCAACAGCTCCTTCTCCAAAAATTATTTCACTAGCTTTGGATCCTCTTTCGGTGAAAGGCACAAAACAGGTGGAGAACTTATTGCTCAGGGCTGAAACCTAGCTGGTTTGGAGATTACTCCGGTCCCTGTACCAGGCCCACGAGTCCATCTGGCTCTTCTAAGGTGCCCTAATTTCTGTGTCCACAGCCGAAAGTAACCGAAAGCGAAGTTGTTGAACTTTGACTGAGATCCGATGCTGATGGTAAGAGTGATGATCTCCAGAGATACACTACCTCTGGTCTTCAAAGAATGCCCACAGCTCATGTTGTATTGGCAGTCCCCTTCCGATGAATCCTCACAGGGAAAACTGTTAATCAAGTCCCGGCATCGTTTATGGTCACACTTGAGAGTGTGGTAGGACGACGATGTAGACGGATTGAACAAAGCAGTCGGCTGCTTGAAGCACGGATCCTCGGCACATGATTTGCACTGCACCCAGGTGAGGTCGCTTCCTGTACCCACAATGGCTATGAACTTCTGAGGAGGGCTTCCTAACGTACTCGTAAAATGCTGTACTCACTTTCTGTGCGCCATTGGTGACTCGTGTGTTGTTTGAGCTGACAATAACGAGTCTGAAACTACTCTGTTTTCCATTTTTGAAGGCGTTGTGCTGCTCTATGGAACTTCCCAAACTCAGAGAAATTCTCTGCCAACGATTAGTCGGCCTTGTGGAGTGTGCAAGATGGATTATCTCGAATCGGACATACGGATAATCTCGAATCTTACTCCAGGTTCAAGAGCTACAAGTAAATGGACTTCCCCGGGCACGAAGGCAGCGACGAGGAAGACAGCTGCTTGAACCCAACGAGAATAATTCGAATGCGCTAGGGTTTTACGATCTGCTGCTATTAGAAACGGGGAATGTCGAACACCTGAAGCCAGCCAGACAGGCCGTTTTGCACAAGGTTTGAAGACTTTCAAAGTTGGATTGTAGTGTACTTATCGGCCGAATGAGTTTATTTAAGTCCAAGGTGTTCACTTGGTGGCCGACAGAAGGCCATCGAAGGTCATACGGGCGTACACTTCACCTAATTCACTGGTGTAGATTACCTTACGGTTCTCAAAAGGTTGCAGAAGACGGCGACATTCTCATCGAAGGAAACAAGTCTGTAGTGCATCGCTGGCACGTGAGACTAGACACCGGAGGAGATTCTAACACGGACTTGCGTTTTGTAACCTCCACCAAACACAGGGAGTGATTCACCAGGACGTTTATGAACGATTTCCAAATCAGAGGCCCTAGTCAGAAGTACTCCAGATCTCCACATTTGCAAGTTTCAACCTCACCATCTACTTTCTTCACGTGTGGAAAGTTGGTTAATCTCTGCTGGTTCTCACTTGCGTGCCCGATCATCTATCAATAAAGATCGACAAGCAAATATCCAGTCTGCGATGCTGCCGAACTTCTGGACCTGAAAATACGAAGCGTATTTATCTGCATAAGATAAACTGAGGACTCTTCAGAATATAAGTTTTTTCGTCGGTATATATAAACGATGAATATGTATAAAGTCGATGCATATAAACGATCAAATCAAATGATCTGATCGTTTTGCTTCTTGTCACTAGCAGGGTCTATGCACAATATAGATATTAAAGGCTTGGTGGAGGTGCTGCAAGAGGAGAGTGTTGAAAACAGTGATTATTCCCTTGTCATTCGGTAGGGTATGTTCGCAGGATTTTGCTGATTAGGGTGGGACATTCATATTTAAGCCCATGAGGATAATAATCCGGTGTTACTTCGTAGGCCGGAGACAGTTATATGTAGAAGCGCAAGGATCATATCTCTAAGTATCAGCGCATCACTTTGCAAATAGCATCTCATGAGAAGGATAACCCTGTAAAGTGTTGGGATGCAATTTGCAAATGGCCATCTTTATAAGAAAGTGTAGTTATGCTCGGCATCGACTAAGAATTTGACTAGAACATTGTGGAGAAACTATTGGACTCCTTATCTAGATGCCTGGCAATGAGGCCCAAAACATATGCAGGCGGGAGGAAACTTAGGTACCAGTTGTGATACACAACTGACGATATGACGATGCATTTTACCTCGAAGCTTTCCTTTACCAACAGTTGGTATCATAAGGATGCTGCTCGCTACTTAACAGTGAAACGAATGCAATCATCTTGAGGACCACGCTGAGCAACTGGCAAGACGAGGCTGTTGTGGCTGAAGGAAGCGGCCGTGCTGCAAAGCCTGTACTTTCCAGGAGACAGGCCTTCGTCAACGGAAGCGAACAGCCTTTCGTCGCCATCGGCAGCCGTATTAAGTCCTTTGAAGAAGTCGAAATCCGTGGCGGAAGGCACTAAATCTCTGCCCCGTAATTTCTGGACGACGATGTGAGCGTGGCCTTTGATGAGGCCATCTTTGTTGAGCTGCTGAGAGGATGTGTAGTACTGAGTCTCGGGATCACTGAAGAAGCCCGTGTCCAAGTTCATCATCTTGACAATCACTTGAAACGCCGTCCTCGCTGGAATTGTGGCACCACTCTGGGGCTCGAGAATCAGAGTGGAGGTCATGTGATCTCTGGACGGGATTTCTCCGAGCTGCGTGGTGCTGCAAGTGCCTTGATCGGACTGCAGGTTCTGCTTGCCATCTGCCCTCTTCAGCGAGCTTTTCTTGCACACTTGACCATCTGGCGATCCGGACAGTGAGTTGTCCGCGAAGGCGGCGTCCACCGTCAACCCCAGAGTCAACACAACTACGAGAACTGCGTCCAGCCTCATGATGCTGCCGCCTCGAGCTCGCAACACCCAATGAACTTTCGGAGGAGCCTCTGAGTTCCTGCAAGTCAAGCAGTTCACAGGCGAGTGAGTTCATCACTATTCTATGACACGAGAGACTGAATCTTGACTTTTGATTTTGAAATTATTTGAAGCTGTTGGGATTGATCTATGGAATTCAGCAAGCCGTTCAAGGAGTGGTTACCTGCTGCAGCACTACGGACGAGATTGAGTCCACCGTTGAAAAGCAAGTCCGTGGAGATGAACAATTACGAACCGGAATTCCAATCAGGAGGCAGCTGAAGATCGATCTCTGAGGAGATATTGGAGACTCAAAAGAGACTTCCGATAACGCTTCACTTCCCGATAACGCTTCGACTCGTTTCGTCTGCTCGATCGTCAATCACAGTTGTCGGATGATGATGAAGTCAGAAGATCGACCTCGCAACTTATACTCCAGCTGGTGACGATCAGGGACGCGCAGGTGATGTTGCTCCACCACCGTTCGGACACGCCCATCGCTGAGGACGAAGGAAGTTGAGTGGAGAGAGTGGGGCAGTGGAGTCAAGGCGATTCAGATCTGTAGGGTTGAAGTTGTAATCTTCTTTTGAAGCATTTGGACCGTACTGATGATTGAGGCCTCATGGGCTCATACTTCGCCTTCAAATGAGAGCTGGACTCGGTTCGAGCCTTTCACTTCCGCGGAGTGGGAGGGAGGCTGGGTGACGACATGGCCGAGAAGAGATACTGGAAAGAGTTATGAGCGTAGCTTATTTGGACTCACACGGTCATAATTGTGGACTCGAGGTGAAAGGTGTGCTGAGTGGAGAATGTAGCAGCCGCAATTTCGCTGTCATAGATTTTAAATTTTGATTACCTGTCATTAAATCCCAGATCGTGTTCAGAACTCACACATGTACGACAGGATCCTCGGACGACATTCTTCTGAATGGCAGACTGTGGTGACGCTCGTGAGGTCAGCTCCGATAAAGCCTAGTGAGTGTGTCGGTACAGCTGAAACCGGCGTGACGTTCTGGCGCCCAGTACTCGAAAATAAGGAAGCAGTCATTTGGATCCAGATGCTGGATCTTAGTAGGCTCTTTGATACATCGATCAATGGTCCTTACAGATGAGCTTGAAGTGAAGCAAGATGGTTTACTTCTCTGGGCCGACAGACAGACAGCCTGATGAACGGAAATGCTGCAATTTGAGCAGATGCTGAATGCGCAATGTCCGACAATACTCTTGACTGGCCTATCAAACTGGTTTCATTCCCGTGATCCATAAACAAGACCTAAATCGAGGATCGACTTCTTGCTCGTCATCTGAACTTCTGCTTCAGTTTCGAGAGCCAGATTACCTCAAACAACATTCCATTCTGTCGATGGTGAACTCCCGAAGCAAAACGCTTACAGCTGTGGACTTGTATCGAACCTTCTGTTCGCCCTCAGCTCCTGTATTCTGATGTACAGGCTAGGATTACAACCTTCAGGAGTAGGAATGTGAGGGAGGATGCTCAAGTCCACAAAGAAGATAAGGGGACAGAAATATGTTTGCGTCTGGCGCATATGTTTGAGATCAGGAAACCAACCAGGGGATGCCATTGACAGGAATGCAATGTCCTATGGCAATCACACGTCTGAATGTAAAGAACACAACTTGTTGGGCATCTGAGCAATGTTACGATATATTCGAGTCTTTGGGATCTATCATATGTTGCTACAAACAATTGAAAGCTACACATTCACGATTTCATCGGACAGCTGCAGCTTTTGCTTATTCTCGTAATGATAGTCTCTTCTCTCAACCCCGATTCAAGTATTTGTGAGCTTGACAAACTAGTTAGAGATTCAGATTGCAGGTCGAAAAATTCACAACACTCAGAGTTACAATGCAAATCTTTAAGCAACTCTGATCCTAATCAAGTACGTTCCTGTTCGAGCCAATGACGCCGAATTTAGCTGAGTTATCTAGAAGACATTACTTCCTCAAAGTCGATTTCTCTCAACATTTACAGCTTTTATCAATGTAGTCCAGCGGGGAGTTCATAATATTAGGCTCTCAGATAAACTTCCATTACGTCGGAGGGTGGTGTTTCAAGCACCACTGTCCCGTCAGCAAAAGAGGGATTGGCCTTTTATATATGCGTATAGACTTCGTTGTTTCGTGAACAACTGTCTCCTGATGTACTGGTGAATTCCGTTTAAGTTTTAGATGCTATGTGAAAATTATGTTCTATCCCATTCAATATGTTCTGGTCATGGGTTTTTCTTTTACCGATGAATCTAATCTCATACCAGAATGTAGCAATTTATACTCAGTGTGACTGTGACTACATCACTGCAGTAAGCCTAACAAGACTTCGTAAACAGATCTGATGTTCCAAGATTAAATTTCACCCAGGAGTTTACAGTACCTCCTCATCACAAACTATTGAGGATGACCAAACCATTAGTTCTGGTGTAATGGACGACTCGACAGAAGCAAACTTACTACAAGAGGAATTTTTTAAGATGGCGGATGGTGGTAGTCTAGCCCAGAGAATCAGCTATATGCCTACTCACAACATGAACACCAGACTAGCATGATATGCTGTAAGTACTCATCATCAACTCTCCCATCATCTTCAAAATCAGCTTCCGCATACACGTAGTAGCTCCTAAGTAGATCCAATCATAGATCCTGAATATTCACTTGACACGATCAGGTTTCAAGCTCTTACAATCTGATGAAGCAATGGAATGGAATGAAAATAATGGATCAAATTTTGCATTCTCATGACAGATAAATGACGCCCGGTTCTTCGAAGCGTTAACTAAATTTAGTTTACAGAAACTTTGTTTTCATCTCTAGTGTTGGAGGTCACTGTGAATTCATTTGCTGAGATCCCACATGCCACAACAAGATCCTACGAATTTTCGACTTGTACAAATGATGGGACACACATTCAAGCACACAGTCTATTGTCATGGAATATTTAGTGGTTACGTAAGTATTTAAATAATCAGACCGGTAGAGGGAATTAACTTGTTAAGGCTCCTCGCACATAAGTTTCGCTAAGTATGGGGATTGTTGTTAGGAGATCCAGGGTTATGGAGTTCGAGTTAGTGCCCATGACTTCAACTAAAGAACTGCGAATATCATGGAGAGTAGTTAATGCGATAATTTATCAATTTTAAATTACAGAGTGAATTTGGTACAATTACAATATGATTTTTTAATATAATTTTTCTGAAGAAAGTTAATCATTTTTTATACACTTGAATTCATATATAGTGTTTTTTAATTTGATCTAATCAGCGTTTATGTTGTGATATAATATGTATGTATATAAAAAAAATGAAAGTCATGAAAGTCTGGCTGATTATGACCTTGTGAGAACAAAAAGGGAAGGAGCGATAATTAGTAATGAAAGAACCGATAGGTTTTACTTCAATCATGCATAACACGATCAATCAAGAATAAAGTACCTATTGTGAGGTTCCTAGTAACCTAGTAGCTCCACGTTGAACATAAAAAACCGGTTAACTTAAACCGCAGTCGATATCCGGTTTAGGGCTCTCTTGCTTCAGAAGATAGCAAGAGTTGGCAGTGGTAGTCAGTATAGACGATAGTGAGGCTTTTGTTAACCAGGTACTGCTCCGCAGTTGATTGATCCAATGATGTTGACCTGACAAACTTATACCGCGTTAGCCGCCCTTCTGTGAACCGGGTAACTAACCAGCAGTCGATCTCCGTTTTCATCCTACGTGTGTCCACCTGATTCTACCGCGTTCACAGGTGCCCATCTTTTGAGCCGGAACGTAGTAGCTGCCCGTTGAAACGAGTGATTAAGGTCCAGTAATGGGAGATCTTTCGCTTACAGTAGGGAAATTATTAATAACATCACGACCCACATCGTGCAGTTTGGCTAAGACCTTGCCTCCTTGATGATGATGATATTATGATATTATATTGATATATGATGATGACAACTTGGTCGTATGAGTCACAAGCGCTACCACCGCTATGCCAGAAAAGTTTCCCAACTAGGTTACCAAAATCAAAGATGACGCATACTTTGGACATGAACATGATAGAAGAACCAACTTGAATTCAAAGATTTCACTAGCAACTTGCGTTTATTGTAGTTTTCAATAGTTCACCGCCCTTCGTCTAGTTTGTATGAAAGACGAAACCTTACAGTAATTTCATTTTTCAATGAACTAAGTTGAGGAGAGAAAGAACAATATAATGATCAATGCAAATTTATCTAAGTCTCTGGCTGTGAATTTTTCTATATTGTTGTTGGTCTTGTAATTGAATACTGAGAGAAGTGGAATTCTCATGCAACATAATGTTTACACAAAAGTTATCATTCCTTGTTGAGGTTATTGAATCCACATACACAAAACACAGAGAATTTTATGGCATACATCTTGTTGTAACTACAAAGCAAAACTATGTTATGACATGGAGATTACAAAAAGATGATGTTCAGTTTAGTCTTTCGAGCTATTGTAATGAAGATGATATTTGAAGATAAGGTATGTATATCAGTTGAAACGTTTCAAATAACTCAAACTTGTATTGACTTTTTAGGATGAGAAAGTTGATACGGCCTAAAGGAATATGTATAATCTAAAGTTGGAATTTGATGCAAAGAATTTTTGAGAATTCTAAATTGCTTTGTTGGCACATGAATTTTTTGGTTGAAATAAAATCAAAAAAATTCATGAATGAAGTGAAATCCTCAATGGTAAATCCATTTTCAATCTATTTTCATCGCAATGAGTTTTAAATATCATAAAATTAAATATAATAAAATTTATGAAAAAATTTATAAATTTTTAATTTTGATAAATGAAATTTGATATTTGATAACTTACACAATAATGCAGATAAATGAGCACTTTGATGATTGCTTTCGTAATCAAAAAATTTCCATCAGTGAAGTGTTACTTATTTTTTTTTAAAGTTTTGAAACTGACTGCATCCAAGGCTTGGCATTTGTGGTGAACTTTATACAAAGAAAGAAAGAAAGAAAGAAAGAAAATTATATATATATATATTACATGAAAAAAAATTCATAAAAAAGAAAAATTGTAAGCTAATTATTTGTTAAAAAAGAATTGATGACATAAACGTGCCAATAGTCTATATGCCGGGGGTTTGACCCACTCCAATAAATCTGAGTGTACATTGGAATGGCCAGAATAAGAATATTGTAGGTTACAAAAATGTCTAAAAGATTCTCAACAACCAAACATTCAAAGTTTTATATTTTCGAAGCTAATCCTTGCAACACTAGTGCTAGTTTTGAGTTGTTTAACTTGACACAACAACTTCTAGGAGGTTTGGAAAAATCACTCATGATACTGAGTTGGGGTGCTTTAGTTGCATAGTTTATTGCCATTTCATTGATTAGTCCAAGTCAATGCTCGACTATAAGTCTCTTAAATTTTCACTACTTAAGGTTTAAACGATTGAGAGTCTAGTTATCACTCACTTTGGGCTAATTATCATACTGTATCACATACCTCTAATCAATCACACGTTATTCACCTAGCTATTCTTACAAGCGGGTTAGCACTACATCGCGGGCGCTCGTGACCCGTGCTCTCGCGTCCATGTTAGAGGGAAAGAAAATAGCTTGAAAGGTTCCCTCGTAATCGGCGGACCTATGGATTTATTACATCGCGTAGTTTCTTTCGAATTTGGGTTCAATTCCATGGCGAAAGTGCATGAACGAGGCCAAGCCTTTCAATTCACTCTTTTACTTTGTATTCTCATCAACAAATTGCATTGACGAAGGAACAAGGTACTTCTAAATGGAAAGCTCATATCTCCACGACGAATCCAAAACAAAACCAAACCTCGGTACATCTTGATTATGTTTTCACGATTTTATCTCATGTTGCTGCTCACACGAGGACTTCGACTACGATCATCTTCTGGCACCTAGGAACGATGACGTTTCCCATTCAACGGTCTCTTTGGTACTCTACCCGATGTTGTTACTATTGTTTACAAATTTGCCGTAGTGGGTGCATTCCACCTGGAGAGAGTTTTGTAAGTGGGTGCATTCCACCTTGAGGGAGTTTTGTAAGTTGTCCAATCATAGCTCCATAAAAGTTTCTGGTCAGGTATACCTTCTTGGGATGAGGTGAGAGTTTTTGATCTTCCTCTATCCATCAATTCCTTCCCTTTCTATCCTCTTCCATAGGTGCATAGTATTTGCAATGTAGGTCTCAATGGCTAGAGCATGGCCACTATTTCATGTGGCGTACCCTCGTAACATATAAAAAGTACAAGAACATGGACGCGAGAGCATTTTCCGCTTCCATGTTTAATAGGTAGTTGAATAACGTATGATTAGTGAGAGTAATGAGATACAAAAGGGTGAGATTAGTGAGAGTAATGAGATACAAGAGGGTGAGGTATAACTAGCCGCTACCTTGAACTAGTATGATTACCATGCCACGAGTAATTTAAAAACTCGCGAACGAACAAAAAACTCTGAAAATAGGGGTGCAACGCAAGCATGGCCCACAATACACGGATGGTCCACTAACGGATCCGTCGAAGGACTCCTGGAACAAGCAAGTGTTCGGTTACTTTCCATAAACAGATGAAAGAAGCCGAAGGAGACCTCCACATTCCACTCACAAATGCAATATGTACCGACTGGAGCCTGAACATTGTTCCTGCTCTTGAAGCTGTGGCTGACAACAACAATCATCGACACTCAGCCCCTACCAGTGGAAGCACTTCGAGAAGAGACGTGGATAATCGACTCAAAGAAGAGGCTCGTCAAAGTTCAGACTGACCACGTACGTGCTGAACTCGAGAAATTGATGTTGCAGCGTTGCAATTTGACTCCATTTGCAAGAAAGGCATGGATCTTGATGCTTCGCGAAGTTTCAGAAAGGAAGCAATTTTATCGAATCCTGAAATCACCTCACAACATATCATCTGCCGTATCGTTGTGTCAACCGGCCGGCCATGTATGTTCAGATTGCTATAACGCGTTGGATGAGGGACGCCATGCTGATGGACGATGCCATGGAAAGCGTTATAAAAGTGTGCCGAGAATGTGCTTGGCGGGACGACTGTGGTCCAAGCTTTACTGGAGACCTTGTAACCACTGCGGGTCTAGAGCCGGGCCGTCTATCTAGTCCACAGCTAGCTTTAGGACCCGAGCCACTCACTGCGATTTAGGCTCAGGCTTTCAAACACATTGCAATCGTAGTTCATGAGCTAATTCGTCCACCGAATCGAATTAGACCGAGGTTGCTTCCATCTTACGCACGCTGAGGTTCTGTCTGTCTGTCCGTCGTGGTAAAACGCGTTCTGAGCACCGTGCGGAACCGGAACTTCGGCTGTAGAATAATAAAAATTCGCTCAGCTTATTCGTGGGGTAGCGACCCTCTTGCGCGTCCAAGACATTCGTGATGGATGGATCGGATCCCTCATGCCAGTCGCAGGAATGTGCCAGGTATGATTTGAAACGTTCTCGCCTGGTGGATGTAAGTACCTTGATCAGGTATTCCGGCGAGGGCACTCTATAAGATGATGTTGCTACATGTCCCTTTGGCCCAGGCAGGTCAGTGTAACAGGATCGATCTGGAGGCTGTAGCAATCCTCTCCTCGTTTTCTAAACTGACGGAAAAGCCAGGTTGTCTGTTCGTCTGAAAGAAATGAAGGCGGAAACTGGAGCAAGCGAGATCTGAAGAGATCATTCATGAGGCGTTCCTTTAGGACATGGTCATTCCAGTCATTCCTCTCGAGTTTAGGTGAGCCTCAGATGGAAGCGCTGGTCGGTACCTTGTCTGCTAAGTGATGGACTATACAGGAAATATAACTCTAGTGCACGAAATGAAATCGTTGTACATACACACATACGTGCAAGTTAAAACATTTGAGCATAAAATCTGCAATGTTCGCTCTTCTTCCATTACATGAACAATGTCGTTGCTGATTACACTTTTGCAGAAATGCTGATTTGAAAGCCCCCGCACTTCATGGTAATGCTCCTCGTTCACTGATGTACAGCTGATCTCTCCATACAGAGGGAACTGTAGTTGTTATGCAGTCAACACCTGATTAGTCGAAACTACTGGTGCATACATTAGTGTAGGATTGTCTCTTTTCAGAAAATTCGTGTACACTAATTGTGGCTCAATATACAAGTTTTGGGCTCTGCGTGCAGTTGAAGTTATAGCAAAAGATACAGATGATCAACTCCAATTTTTTACTGCTCCCAACATCACATCTGACTTACCAGTTTGATAACCCAAGTGCGATATAACGGGCATGTATATAAAATAAACAACTCCTTTATCAGTGTTTACAATATATGTTTGCTGAGGAGTCACTGAATCGAGGTATACACACTCCATCTCGACCTGTTGTACTCTAATCTGCTGGATGGATCTGTTCAGCGAGTCGTGCGGCAGCCATGATCCGACTTCCGGTCTCGAGAAGCCTGCGAAGAATCGTCTTCCTAAACGACTGGTTTTGCTGTTTGGAGAAGTCCAAGAGTATGAAACTTTGGGACCACGAGGGTGGGCTTGATCCCGGAGAGCATGCAACCTCATGCAGTAATCCATGTTACCATGCAACGATCAAACTGTTGCAGTGAGTCCATTGGCTTCGGATCTATGTGCAGGCGCTTCTGTCATCGTCTGATAAATACGCGTACCGAATAACACATAAAAAACAAAGCTTATTTTAAACCTCAAACTCGACTGAGAAATATCAAATAACCGAAACAAAGGTACTTTAGATTTTTATCCGACAGCGAGGTTAGGTCGGTGAATGTACAGTTACTTCCTGTGTTCAGCTATTGTACATTGCAAGTTGTATTCACATCCATGGAGCCTCGGGTTGCAGGTTTTGTCATGGGAATACAACTGTTGAGAAGCAGTAAAAATGAGGCAGCTTTTGGATCATCTTAAGAGCACATTCCATGTTGAGCTCACGACGGAAAGGTATGTTCAATAGGGTGAAAAACGACTGCATATCTTTTATACATAGGCCTACAGTCCTAATTTGATGATTATTTTGCTTGATCTGCACTCCAATGTCTTGATCTGCACTCCAATGTCGATATCACACTCGTGACCACGGAACCTTCAGAGGAGGCGCCGACATTCGTGGTCTCCATGAGCTTGAACTGGAGGGAAGGTAGCTCAGCGAGTTCAGAACAACGAATCCACAGTGCTTGCGGAACACGTCAGCAAATATCTCACTCTATATATCTTGTACCGTCCACAAAGTACAGTCCATTGCCCGTGCATTACACAATGGATGAATCTTTTAGAATGATGATACGGTATGAATCAAGTGGTGCTGATTCATCAAAGTACACACCAACAGTAAATAGAAATGTGGAAGATAAGATCGGATGGATGAACGACACTTCAACACATATAGTTTATCAAACCCTCCGCCCATCCTTCTTCGTTAAACGAAACAAAAATCCCAAATTTTTCTCACAACAATAATTACCTGAATTGCCGAAAGTGCACTTTTGGAGCAAAAGTGTTCAACATGGTTAGACCTGTTGTGTCACTCATAGATCCCAACTTGTCATTATGTCCGCTGTGTGAACAGCTTTCCGTCTAGGATTATGATCGATATTCTCATTTTCTTTGCTTCTATCTTGGCATAACATAACACCACTCCAAAGAAGAGAAGACACACCGCCGGATCCGATGCTAAATCGGTCGACCATTTCAAATGGACTTTCGGTAATTCAGCTTACATAAGATGACAGTCAACAGATGCAACCACCCGCGGGAATCCATGTTAGCATGCAACGATCAAGCTGCTGCAGTGAGTCCAGTGGCTTCAGATCTATGTGCAGGCGCTTCCGTCATCGTCTGATAAATAAGCGTACCGAATAACAAAGCAAAAAACAAAGCTTATTTTAATACACACTACGGTGGAAATCAATTGTCACTCAGATTCGACTGAGACATATCAAATATCCGAAACAAAGGCTTTTCTCGGACAGCGAGGTTACGTCGGTGAATGTACAGATACTTCATGTGTTCAGGTTTTGCTTATTGCAAGTTGTATTCACATCCATGGAGCCTCCATGGAGCCTCGGGTTGCAGGTTTCTTCATGGGAATACAACTGTTGAGAAGCAGTAAAAATGAGGCAGCTTTTGGATCATATTAAGAGCAAATTTCATGCTAAGCTCACGGAGAAAGATATATTCAATAGGGTGAAAAACGACTGCATATTCAATATACACAGGCCTACAGTCCTAATTTGATGATTTTTTTGCTTGATCTGCACTCCAATGTCGATATCACACTCGTGACCACGGAACCTTCTGAGGAGGCGCCGACATTCGTGGTCTCCATGAGATTGAACTAGAGGGAAGGTAGCTCAGCGAGTATAAAAAGAAAACAATGCCACCGGATTCTTCAGCAGCACAACGCATTGCTCTAGAACCTCCTCCTTTTCCCCGCTATCTCATTCCATTCCATTTCTCTTTACTTGTTCTAGCCAGCCTGCGTTTCTTTGTTCTATCAACTGTCTGAAGATGTCTGGCTGCGGAAACTCTGGTTGCTCATGCGTCGCTGCCTGCAAGTGCGGCAGCGGCAACAAGTCAGTCATCTTCTCATGCTTCAAGTGTAGCCAGAATGTGGAGGGATGAATCTACTCGATGGTGGCAGTGACGTGTTTGTTTTTCTGCAATTGTTGCACTCATTTTCACCAACTGCTTTGGTGACATTGATGAAGAGAAGACTTTTGAGAGTTATTTCACGGTCCAATGTGGAGTATCGAGTAGCTTGTACTTCACAGACTTCTCTTTAGTCTTGTGATTCAGGCCTGCTAGAAACGGCTGTTGACATTCTAAACTGCAGTTGAGCTCGTCTAGAATAAACCTGCCATAGAGTAGGATCCGAAGTATTGGATCTAGCGAGTCCACTCTAATCCGCCGATCCGTTTTGTCAATGAAGCTGCTGCGCTAAGAGGTCCATGGACGACTTCAAGAGTTCCGAGATGAGAGGTACAATTCTACGCTTTTAAAATCCACCAAGTTTCAATAGAGAAGGCTAATCTTACCTCCAGACTTGAGCTTCTTAGATTGTCAGTAATATTCCACACTACAAATCTGACTCGGCCAATTTATAATTTGTTACTTTCTTGTTTACATCTGCTGCCTCTTTTCTGATAAAGCTTCTGATGATATTTCAGCTTTGAGGGAGCCAACGAAGGATGCAAGTGCGGTGACAAATGCTCATGCAACCCTTGCAACTGCAAGTGAGAATGCAGACCATTTACAAACTGCAGACCTCGGCCGTGCGTACGAAGGATAGAAACGTGGCCTAATTTCTCAGTTTGCTGTAGGGTCATGGTTTTATGATATCCATAGGACGCAAAGCGCGCCTGTTGTTGTTCAGGTGAATATGATGTATGTCTTTTGCTTAGAAGCTCGGAAAGATCAATAAAGGTAGAAATTCAAGAAGACGTCCAAAATCACTCTCCATGTCTCATAGTTGGCCTGAACATTAGCACGTTGCAGGAGTTTGTCCTCGAAACTACTGAGGTTATAATGGGACTTAAATTTACAAGCATCCAGTCAATACACACTTTTGGTATTAACCCCAAGCCAGTCATACTAGCATTACCTGATTTCATGGAATTCCAAGTGTAGAAGAAGAAAAGCCTAAGGCCGAACAGTTGCTTTCTACAGAGAGAGGTGCCCCCTCCCAAAGAAGGACAATCAGATCAGCTCGAGTCCAAGTTCTGCTAGAATACAAGGAACCAGAAACATGATAAGAAACCTCATATGAAAGATTTTGCTACACAGTATACTTCTTATGAGATTGAGTGTGCACCTAAGCAGGAACGAGCTTGTGCAGAGAGTCAATTGAGGAGGGAGCGCGTCTTACCTTTCCCTTGCGCCCGGCCGGGTTTGAGACACCGTTCGAGACATTGTGAGACGCCAAGCAGGAATATGCACGCGTCCCAGCGATCTCCTTGCGCCCGTGGTGACCGTCTGCACCGAATTGACCTTGGTCATTTGAGAGAAATTGGAAAATTTGGGAAATTGACCTTGGTCATTTGAGAAATTCACAGCAGCTTGGGAATGTTTCACTACTCCAGCTTCAGAACTGTCCATTATAATTTAATCTACGATTTTTCAAAAGCAGACGCCGTGCGAGGTACAAGAGTTGAGTTCAGCATAAGAATCCCAAAAGGGATGTGGATTGCTACCAACAAGTAAAAAGACGAGAACTCAAATCCAACACATACGAATTCCAATCTACACCATACTCCTACTCACGCTGGATAGAAAAACTGCTATCTAGATATATAAGTCGGGTTTCAACTCATTACGACTGGTAAGTCGAGGGCTGAGAAATGGAGCAGCTGAGCGTTCCGACATAGCTTTGCAACTTCTAACTACTAGTGCAACTCGAAGAATTTGGCAAAGCTTTACTTAATGACATTCGCTTAGCTATGGGATGGGATGGACACATTGAGCTCAAGGCTTCCATCCAAGTTCACCTCACCAGTAATCGAAATAACTTGGATTTTGGAGTCGAACTCCTTCATCTGGCCCAAAAGGTGATCGAAGTGGGGAGTGATGTTGAACATCATGTCAGGAATCAGGTTGCGTCCTAATTACCCGAAGTAGGCCTTCTGCGTTCATAAGGTGTGACAATTTCTGAAATATTTGAACAAAGTGTTGCATGTAGTATATTGATTCGTACATATACATAGAGTTTAATAGCAGATAGGAAATTGTGTCTGACAACCCCAGAATCAAAGACCTTATCATCCATATCTGAAGATTTGAGATTTCTTATTATTGCAAGAACTCTGAAAAAACATTGAGAGTATTTGCTTCGTACATCTTTATTGAAGCTCTACCTCAAGAAAGTCATTAGCCAAAAGTTGAGAGATATTGCAAAAACCCTTTGAAAATGTATAGTATCGTTATTTTATTTGCAAGTATTCAAAGTTTTTTCAAGAGTATTCAATAGACAAGTGACTGTTCCTTTTATGCTGGAGGAGGAAGTTTCACAAAGAGCATCGAAACACAGCTGCACCCAAAACATATTAGTCCTTTACATACAGCATGCAATTTAGTCCTGATTATCAAACAATTGGAAACCAGCAATGTTTGCTTCCAGCTCACAATCAAAATTTCATTAAATAGATTATTATAAAGAGGAGGACGTTTTCCCAAAGAACTAGATTCTGGCACTTCTCAATATCCAGAATTCACCTCATCTGCACTCACTTCTGCGTGCACTTATACAGTATTGTACAGCATGGTCATCACGTCAATTTCCGCAATTCAGGTTACCTGGAAAATCTTACTTTAAACCAAAAACAAGTGGCAGTGATCTGTCATCTGTGAAACAGCAGTGCCACTTTACAATCCCATCTTACTCAAATTGTCACAAAAGCTCAGGCGTCAGGTCTAATCAGGGTTGTTTAGCTCTCGACATTTGAATATAATTTCTTTAGCATGTACTCTTTACAATTAATACACACGAGCGTTCCTCCAATCCTTTCCAATCGAGTCGAGTCCAAAGAGTTTAGTAAACTAGAAAGGCAGGTCATCGTGAGGCTTTAGCAGTACGTAGGAGCTCACCGCTGGCTTGGGATTTGGAGAGGCCTTTTGAAATTAGCGTGAGTTCCAGGAATGTGTAACCATTCATGCTTAACGCAACGAGACTTGGTTGCTTTCGCTAAAAGGGCATCCGGGAGATTCTTGATGATACCACCAAGTAAAAGATCCCTAGAGAAAATGTCTGCAGAATCAAGAGGTGAATGAGGAGGAGAAGCAGACCGTGTTCTCTGGCAAGCTACTCCTCGTCCATTCTATCGAAAACCCGAGGTTGAGAGGCGGATAGAATCTGGTAAGAAAAATAATAAGAGTTCGTCCTTTTGAAACAATTAGTTGTCGAATGGTGAGTGTGGCAGGCGCTACGAATCCACTGTGCTTGCGGAACACGTCAGCAAATATCTCACTCTATATATCTTGTACCGTCCACAAAGTACGGTACAAGTGCATGAACAATGGATGAATCTTTTAGAATGATGACACGATATGAATCAAGTGTTGCCTGATTCATCCCAAGTACACACCAAGATAAGGAGAAATGTGGAGAAGAAGATCGGATGGATGAAAGACACTTCAACACATATCGTTTATCAAATCTTCCGTCCATACCTCTTCCTTAAACGAAACAAAATCCCAAATATCTCTCA